GCTTCCAACGGGTTATCCACTCCCGAATGCTCATGCATTGTAATGGACAACGTTCTCAGACCTTCCAGCGCTCGGGTCACAGAGCCGTCGGGAGCTGTATTATTTGGAATAAAAGTACAACACATATCCCCAAACATCGCGCAAACAACCCCTTTTTCTCCCAACAACATATCTAACACCATCCGATTTTGTACTGCCATTAAAGATGTTGGACCCAACTGCTCGGCAAGTCCTTCAAGTCCTTACCGTCCCTGGTAAGGTTCGCCAATCTCAGGACATTGTAGTGCACATAATTAATACGATCCACATTCTTATTTGGAGTTACTGGAAAAAATGCAGAAATTATGGGAAGATTTTCAAATCCTCCAGCAACCTGGTCAGCTAACTTAAATTCATTAGGCACACCCCTAGGGACTCCAATGGCATCTATATATGTTGGTGATCCTAATGTAAGGTCAAACGATCCTGGTGACCGTTTGGCCAACACATGGCGTCTCCATCTGGCTGTCAATTGAGCGGTGCCGGGCTTACCCAGCCGCACCCCCTTTTCACCTACTAAAACAAGAGGTGCACCTAAACGTACCATAGCACAGAGACCAGAAGTCCCACTAGGAATTCTAACATATAATCTGTACCCACCACAATAATGATACAAACCAGCACGTGCCCACAGGCCTATTTCGGTGCCAGTGTCTTTTGATACTTTTCCTCTGGCCCGGTACGTCACAGTGCACCAATCGGCGTTAATCTCCCCGGCCTCATGCTCATATCTGTCAGGGAAAGACACAGTTAAGTTAAAACACATGTAGTTGGCTGTTCTTGGTGTGAAAGGACCAAGCACAGTGTCATTACCTATTGGTGGAAACAAACTAGCTAACGTAGTGCAATTACCTTCAGAAACCGCTTCTCTCATGAGTCAAAGCATGCAAACAAATCTCCACTGGTCTTCAGGATATAGGGGAGCTGGTTCTGTGAAAAGATGTGGGCGAGCAGCTGCGCACGCCACACAATCTGAAACATTTTGTTCTCTAGCATTTTGGATGAGCCAGTCTAGCCACAGATTGCTATCACGATAGCCAGTGGCCATTGAAATGAGCTGTTTAGGTTTGAGTCTTGTATAATCTACTT